CTATTATATGCCAGTTCTGCTCTAGGCACTGGGGATGCATAGTCCTCTTCCCCTTATCCATGGGGGATTAATTCAAGACCCCCTGTGGATTCCTGAAATGGAACCCTGTATATATTGCTTTTTAATACAAATGATAAAGTTTAATTTATAAAGGAAGCACAGTGAGAGAGTAACAACAACTGATAACAAAATAGAACAATTCTAATAATCCTATCTAATAAAAGGGTAATATGCAAATTAATGATCACTCCATCACAAAGATGATGGTGCCTGTAGCCACAAGATGGCAGTGCTCAGTCCTCTCAGCCCTGCTAGAGACTCCCAGCCTGTGGGGAGGGGAGGAAGGACTGCTGAGAGTGGGCAGCATGAGTGTCCTGGCAGAATGCTTGCTTTGTTGTTGTGGCAATGAGGCAAACGTTCCATGCCTGGCTGAGGAAGGGCCTCTGGGCAGTGGGCGCTGAGCGGCCAGGCCCCGCTACTGGTGCACGGATTCATGCACAGGACTACTAGTGTACTAGAATAAAAGTTATGTGAATGTGATCTCTCTCAAAAACTATCTTATTGTACTATGCTCACCCTTCTTCTCGTGATGATGTGAGATGATAAAATGCCTCAAGTCGAGAATTTTCACTTAAAAGGACCACTCTATGATTTCTCTTTGGCATATCCAAATTTCCAGCATCAGAACTCTTACACTTTGGAGCCATTATTGAGTAAAGTCGGGGTTACTTGAACACAGGCACTGTGATATCTAGGCAGTCTGATAGCTGAGATGGCTACTAAGTGACTAACAGTAGTGAATACTGAGTGAATATGCTGGCTGGACAAAGGGATGATTCACGTTTGGAAGGAATGATGTGGGAAGGTCCCAGATTTCATCACACTATTCAGAATGGCTCACAATTTAAAACTTAAAAATTATTTCTGAAATTTTCCATTTAAATATATTCAAACTGAAACCCTGAAAAGCCCAATGGCAGATAAGAGGGACCACTGTTGTAATAAATCAAACAGACGAAAATCTCTTGGGAGTTTATATTCTGATTCAGGGAAATACAAGAAATAAATAAAGCAGAGAATGGGGACACCGCCTGGGTGGGGCTGTGCTATAGTAAACAGGTGATCAAGGAGGGGAGGGAGATCTGGGGGAGATAATAGATCAACCGAAGGACTTGTAAACATGCATATAAGTACAACCAATGGACATAAAACTCTGGGGAAGGAGGGTATGTATGAGAGGGAGGGAGAAGGGCAAAAATAAAAATCAATAAAATATATATTAAAAAAAAAAAAAGGAAGGGTCTGGCTGTAGAGACCTGAAGACGTGAGAAGGGAGCACCTGAACCAGGTGAGGAAGATAAGGGCAAGGGGAAATCAGCCTTTTACCAAAGGGAATGGGAAGTGCAAAGGCCCTGAGGAACTGGGTGGATAAGGTGGTTAAACCAGGGAGCTCCTGGGGAAGTGGGAGGAGAAGGGTCTGAGAGGTACTAGTGAGGCAGCTCCAATCATGTTGTCTTGTAGGCCCCTGAAAGGACTGGTTTTTACTCTTTTTTGTTGTTATTGTTAATCCTCATGAGAGGATAACCCTCCTGCCCCCATTGATTATGAGAGAGAGAAAAAACAACATTCATGTGAGAGACACACATTGATTGGTTGCCTCCTACAGGAGCCCTGGCCGGGCCAGGAATTGAGCCTGCAACTGAGGTATGTTATGTGCCTTTGACCGAAACTGAACCCAGATGCTTCAGTCCCCAGGGTTGATACTCTAACCACTGAGCAGAACTGGCCAGGTGGCCAGGGCTGGTTTTTACCTGATGGGAAGCCATGGAGAGGCATTGAGTAGAGTGAGATGATCTGACTTAGATTATAAGAGGATCCCTTCTTTTGTTCTGGTGATAAACACACACACACACACACACACACACACACACACACACACACACACAAACTGTAGAGGGCAAAGGTGGAAGTTATTAGGAGGTCACTGATGCTCTAATCCAGGTAAGAGATGATAGGCAGCTTGGCCCAGGGTGGTGGCAGGGAGGTGGTGCAACATGCGAATAGCCTGGAAGTGTTCTGAAGGCAGAACTGACATGAATCCTATATAATAAAGAGGTAATATGCAAATTGACCCTCATGCCCTCACAAGATGGCTGCCTATGATCAGGCCAGCAGGGTTTAGTGAGGGACGATCAAACTACTGAACAGCAGGCTGTTTGGGGTGACCAGGCCAGCAGGGGGGTTATGAGGGACAACCTAATGACTGAACAGCAGGTTGCATGGTGGTGTCCAGGCCAGCAGAGGAGGCATTTGACTGCTGGGAGAAGGGGGAAGGGGAAGGGCAGTAAGAGGTGACAAGGCTGCTGGAGCGGGGGGCAGTAAGGGGTGACTGGACTGGCAGGTGGGGGGTATGAAGTTGGGGGGCGACCAGGTCAGCAGTGGGGGGCAGTTAGGGATGACCAGGCTGGTTGGAGGTCAATTAGGAGCAACCAGACTGGCAGGGATGGGGCAGTTGGGGGGCAACCTGGCAGGCAGGGGGGCAGTTAGGAGTCAGCAGTAGTCCCAGATTTTGAGAGGGATGTCCAATTGCCAGTTTAGGCCTGATTCCTGGGGTCCTGGATTGGAGAGGATGCAGGCTAGACTGAGGGGAACCCCCCGTGCATGAATTTTGTGCACCAGGCCTATAGTTGCTGATACAATGAGCAAAGTAATGGTACAAAAACATGTACAGAATTGATATGAACAAGGCTTTTCTTAGATTCATAGAAAAGAGACTGGAAATACCCTGTTTCCCCGAAAATAAGACTGTGTTTTATATTAATTTTTTTCTCTCAAATTTGCGCTAGGTCTTATTTTCAGGGGATGTCTTATCTTTTCATGAGCTAGGTCTTATTTTCGGAGGATGTCTTATTTTCGGGGAAACACGGTAATAGTAGCACAACCACCTAGAAATTCAGCCTTGGAACTTAGAATTTTTATGTCTTCTATTATCAGGGAGAACAAACAAAAAAAGAATGGTCAGACACTCAGTATCAAAATCTACTTGCAATTAAGTGAACTGGTTTGAGGCTTGATCTTATTTCAGCACAGTGACATGATGAGATAATAGTTCAACAGACATAAACATTTCAAAATGAAAATGACACTTATTCAGGAGGAAATTATAAAGCTCAATGGGTAGTCACACTAAAGGCTAAACAAACATTATTATCAAGAACAAAGATCTCACTCCGGATTGACCGTCTGTGCTTCCAGCTGGTCTGATTCCTGGTCAGACTCCTGACCCTTTGCCTCCCAGGTTACACTGAATGCTGCCTTTCAGCTTGTTCTACCTTGCATTCTTTACCAGCTGAGAAATAGCAGGTACTCAACAAATATTCCTTGACTTGATGGTTTCTTAGCATCCTTCACTTCCCTCTTTTGTGCCCTTTTTTTTTTTTTTTTTTTTTTTTTTTTCCTGCAGTGCTCAGGGACACTTTATTTTATTTACCAAAGTCAGAGATCAGATAACCCCACACAAGTATGAAATTTTCCAATGAGTTGCACTTCAGGGGGGGCACGTGGAAGGAGCAACCCGGAGGCCCCGCCCGCCTGGGGAGCCAGGGCTGGCCCTCCTGAGGGAGGAGGCGGAGCCTTCGGGGCTGCGATGTGACAGGTGGATGCCTGTGTGCAGGGAGCAGGCCTGAGAAGGCCAGAGGCCATTTAGGAAAAGCACTTTAAGTGTAAGGGAACCTGAAAACGACTGAACAGAATGAATGACCCAGGCACGCAGCACAGCAGGGTCGCCTGGACCTCGGGGAGGTTAACAACGCAGGGACTGAAAGGTAATTTTGGTCAATTACGTTAGATCTGCAAAAACCTCTGAGTTTAACGGCGTGATTCACCAAGGGCCGGGAGGGACCGGGAGACAGAGCATTCCCCGGCCTCTCTAAACCCCTCCAGCCTCGCCTTAGAGGAGGAGGCGCTTCGGGAGGAGGTGGCTCTCCGGAGAAGGCACCGCGAAGTCACTCCTTTATCCCACTGAAGGGCCTCGTTGCCATTTCAGCTAATTTTCTCCAATTTAGAGGTCTCCCAACCAATGTAACCCAGAAAGTAAACCATCGGAGAGCGTCCTTTGGCGGGACACCGAGGCGGCTAGCTTTTTGTTTCAATCTAGGGGGTTTTCCTAGCTACTCGAACCCGGGGTGGCTGCCTCTGGGCGGAGGCGGCCCCATCCTCTCTGCACGTGTCTTGTCTCTCGAGAACTTTCAGCAACACGACCACCGACCAGGGCAGAGCCACGGCCCCGATGTGTAAAGCAGCCAGTTCCGGAGGCCGCCACCCACTTCCCTACCCTCTCCCCACCCCGAGGACCCGGAAAGCGGACGCCCTCCTCCCAGAGCCCCCGGCGCCGGGCGGGAAGGGGTGCGCTGACCACCCCTCCGAAGGCGGCTCCTCTCCCGAAGGGGCCGGTCCCAGCTCCGTCCGCTCACTTGGGTACGGAAGAAGAAAGTTGGGCGGGAGTGGGAAGGGGCCGGAGCGCGGGGCGGGGAGGAGTGAGAACCGGTACTCGGCCCGCCTCCCTCCCCCTCATCCCCCCCCCCCCCCCCCCCACGAGCTCGCGATCTGGGTGGAGCCAGCGGACCGGGCGCGGCTTCGGCGGCGTTTAACATGCAAATCGATCCCCCTCTCCGCCTCCCCCATCCCGCCCCGGGGAGCGAGGCCCCGCCGCTCCGCCGCCGCCCCCGCCTCCTGCGCGCCCCGCGCCCCGGGCGGGCGGCTCTACTTAAGCGGCGCGCGGGGCGCGACCCGGCACTCGCCTGGAGCGCGCGGGCGCGGCGGGCGGAGCGCACGGAGCTGCCGGGCTCACCGCGGCGCGCTCGGCTCCCGGGCTCCGGGCTGCGGGCTGCGGAAGTGGCCAGGGCGCAGGGCTGAGCCAACGTCCCGGAAAGGCGGCTGCAGCTCCCGTGCGCGGCCCCGCTACTCCCCGCACCACCCCAGCGCCCGGCCACCTCCTCGCCATGGCTCTGGCCAACAGCACCCGCGGACTACCCAACGGGGGCGGCGGGGGCGGCAGCGGCGGCTCCTCGTCCTCCTCGGCCGAGCCGCCGCTGTTCCCCGACATCCTGGAGCTGAACGTGGGGGGCCAGGTGTATGTGACCCGGCGCTGCACGGTGGTGGCGGTGCCGGACTCGCTGCTCTGGCGCATGTTCACGCAGCAGCAGCCGCAGGAGCTGGCCCGGGACAGCAAAGGCCGCTTCTTCCTGGACCGGGACGGCTTCCTCTTCCGCTACATCCTGGATTACCTGCGGGACCTGCAGCTCGTGCTGCCCGACTACTTCCCCGAGCGCAGCCGGCTGCAGCGCGAGGCCGAGTACTTCGAGCTGCCCGAGCTCGTGCGCCGCCTCGGGGCGCCCCAGCAGCCCGGCCCGGGGCCCCCGCCGCCGCAGCCGAGGCGCGGGGTGCCCAAGGAGGGCTCGCTGGGCGACGAGCTGCTGTCGCTGGGCTACGCGGAGCACGAGCAGCAGCAGCAGCAGCCGGAGGGCGCCTCGGCCGGGGTGCCGTCGCCCACGCTGGAGCCGGCGAGCCGCAGCCCGTCCGGGGGCGCGGCGGGCCCGCTGCTCACGCCGTCCCAGTCGCTGGACGGCAGCCGGCGCTCGGGCTACATCACCATCGGCTACCGCGGCTCCTACACCATCGGGCGCGACGCGCAGGCGGACGCCAAGTTCCGGCGGGTGGCGCGCATCACCGTGTGCGGCAAGACCTCGCTGGCCAAGGAGGTGTTCGGGGACACCCTCAACGAGAGCAGGGACCCCGACCGGCCCCCCGAGCGCTACACGTCGCGCTATTACCTCAAGTTCAACTTCCTGGAGCAGGCGTTCGACAAGCTGTCCGAGTCCGGCTTCCACATGGTGGCGTGCAGCTCCACGGGCACCTGCGCCTTCGCCAGCGCGGACCAGAGCGAGGACAAGATCTGGACCAGCTACACCGAGTACGTCTTCTGCAGGGAGTGAGCTCCCCAGAGCCCCCTCCCGACTCCAGCGCACCCATTCCCCCCACCCCCCTCCTTCCTGCCCCCAGAGGATGATAGATTCCCCTTCCACCCACGCCCTCCTATTCCCTGGTCCCCACCTCCAGTAGCTGGGCTAGTCCTCCTCGACCCTCCCTCCCCCCTACCCACTTGAGAACCTGGAGCCGCAAATCCTTTCGGCCTTTTCGTCTTCTTTGGACCCCACTTAGCCGAGAGAGCCCAGATATACTCCCTCCCCCTCCATTGCTTCCTCTGGCCCTGCCTCAAGCCACCCCTCCCCCAGTTTGCCCTTCAGTCTGGATCTAGTGGGGGCAGTGGGGTCAGAAGTGACCAAGTACCTGGGGATGATGGCATTGCTCAGAACTTGATCGGACCCTGTCCAGTGTCAAGCCCTTATGACTCATTTCCAGGTTTCAGAAATGAAAATGGATAACACTGCGAATAGTGTTTTTTCCGCCCTCTTCAAAAGGTAGAGTTTTAGAAGGCTGGATGAAAGACTGGACCTGGAATGAGGACCCCAGGAAGGCAGATCAGTGACTATAAATATTGAATCAAATTTGGAAGAGTTACAGGTAGATGTAGGGGAAGCATCTAGTGCTGGCACAATGAAGGATCATGTCTTCTCAATGCAGAAAAAAGGCCTTCGCCTGTGGCTTAAACTTGTTACTTGGGGAAAGAAGTGACTTCCAGCCCGAGGAGGCACCCTTTTTCCTCCGCTCACTCACTGCCTGAAGCCCGTGGTCGGACTGGTTGACATGGCAGCAGTTCTTGGCCAGAGGGGGAGAGAGTCCTGCAGCTGACAGGGCCCGGACAGCCCAAGTCATCCAAGTTCTTGGGGGAGTCGCCGGGCTGTGACTCAGTGGAGCTGGGGTGTAGTGCACGTCCTGGGGAGTAGCAGAGCCCTAGTATTCTTGCAGTGAATGGCGGTAGCTCTTAAGACGTGGGGGGTGGGGTGGGGAGGGAGGAAGGTAAGACAGAGGGATGGGAAGGGAGGAATAGACATGCTCATTTATTATTTGGAAGTTTGTACCATCCGTTTGAGTACATGCACATTGAAAAAAAAAGTACACAAAAAACACAAAGCATTTGATACAGATGAATAGCATCTCTACTCTTCACTGGCAGTTTTATTGAACTGTTTTGAACCCTAAACTTAGAAGTTGCTAATACTGATGTAACCTAACCAAAGAGTTACCCAGTAGGGTTTACGTTACTGAACTTTATTTTCTGGTTGATAACACATCCTGAGGTTTTTTTTTTAAATCTGTTTACTTGAGCAAACAAAATATGTTTGATTTTGGTTACTTAGACTTAAGATCTCTTATTTAAAAAAACAAAAACAAAACAAAACCACAAAACCCTTATTTTCTCCCAGCATGGTCAATGTTGACTTCTGGGCAAACCTGAAAATTAGAAAATGCCACTTCTTTTATGTGGATTATTTGAAGCGAAGGTGGAGTGTTTGTGAGTGACAGAGCTGCAGAGAGGTAGAAGCACCAAGGACTGCCCATCTGTAGATAAGCTGTCAAAGGGAATGTTTTAAAATGAAGACAAAGCAGTTAAAAGTGAGCTGAGCAATAAAAGGGTGTTCTGGGTAAACGCAACAGAAAACAGAAGGAGACCTGGTTGCCTTATACCTTTTCTCCAACGTGGAATAATGTCCCACTGCATACCCTGTCTATACCACAAGGGAAAGGAACCGAATCCTTATCTTTCATGCTGTGAGGCTCCTTTGCATATTCTGTGATGACTGAGAAGCCTTTCTTTTTTTCATTTATTTCAGCATTTTTCTCTGGAGTATGTTTTTTAAGATTTTGTAAGGGTCTCTTTTCACTGTTTAAATTAGCGCTATTTTTCCTTCTTTTTAAAAATGAATCTTGTACTGTATCTTACTAGGTCCATAACAGATGTTAAGAATTGGAACTGTTTTATTCTTAGATTCATGTGATCCAATCTGTATATACCCTATATAAACATTTTACACAAATCATTTAGTTTTTTAATTCATTCACTAATGCTGTACTATTTCCTATATTTGACCCCCAGTAACTTGCATCAGATGGTGTTTATACTAAGCAACATGTTTTTGATGAGTTTCTTATATCCTTATCAATGGAGAAGTTGGGTTAGGAAAAAATACATAATTATAAAACTGAGTTTGCTCCACATTGTTTAGCTTGGATATTAGTTGTATACTAATATGTCAATTAGCTGTAAAAATACAAGGTACCTGTATTTTTAATCCTTTGATTCTTTTTTTTTTTTTTTTTTTGGAGAAAGTTCTGAGGTCTTTTATTGTGGTTGCATTTTTAGAAAGGTAAAGTTAGCTTTATACACAGAGACAGTAATCCTAAGGGAAGTGGGAGTAGACATCCAGGAAGCCTTGTTTGCTTCACTGTTGAGTGTGACCTCAGACTAGGTAATGCATCAGAACTTATCTCCGTTTCAAGCCTGAAATGATTTAGGAATGCCGCTCACTGGCCAAATATGAGTGTCACAGAAACTTCTCCGCCCATATGGTATTCTGTTAGATTACTCAACAAAAATCACATAATTGAGAACATCTTAGAGGGCCAGATAAAACCACCGACATATGGCAAGATTCTCTGAGGTTCTGATTTTTTCTTATTAAATCTGCACAACTCCTAGAGTGATGGGAAACAGCTCAAGTTGTGTCTCTGCCACATAAGTCATGTTTTATCTTGTAAAACTTTGGGTTGAACTATTCCATCCTAATTTTACGGTGCCCCCACCTTTGCTGCCCTGCAGTGCTTCCCCCCCCCCCCCCCACTTCATTATCTGGAAGACTGGGCATGGGATGGTTAGAAACAGTAAAAGTGACCACTTTTTCTAAGGATAACTGTCCCCTCTAAAGTTGGAAGTGGATACCACAGAGCATTCTACTTTTAGCCCAAAGTGGAGGCTGGGTAAGAAACTCATTTTACACGGGTTTCGGTAGAGGGTGTAACAGGTAAGATGACTTGACAGGAGCACTTTTGGGGCCCACGTGCTTTGGGGCAGAGAAGACTACAAAGTGGCTGAAGGGTTTGGTGAGCTTAGGTGGAATGTTGAGATTCGAATAAACCCTGTGAAGACACCACTCAAATAACTCGGGAGAAGGTCATACATTATTCAGGTAATTATGACTGCATTATCCTGATTCAGTGTACATGCATTTACATATATAATGGCTTTAATTACCATTTGATTCATAAATATAGCTGAGTGACATTAGATTTTAATAACAAATTAAGATTTTTTTAATAACAAAAAAGAATACATGTTGACATGGTGGTTAAAAAAACAGGTACCATGTTTAATGCTTTTGCGCCTACTGTTTAACAAGTCTGTTTTTTAATACATGTAGAATATGAACCAATTCACTCTAGTTTTTCAAATTATATGTTGTGAAAAGTATTCCTTGAAGATGTGAGACTTGACATTTCCCCCCCTCTTCAGTACTGCTTTTGTTCTTGTGTTTTGTATTTGGCTTTTTGTAGTGATCACAAAGTGATAATTTACAATACAAGCCAAAATTGTCTTCTCTTTCAATCCAGAACCATATATATGGGGCCTATTGCTTCTCTGAGGAAATGCATAATCTGTGCATTCTCAGACAGAATGGCAACTGGCCATGCTCATTACATATTCCAATTTTTATTGGGATTTTCTATGGAATGTTGTTACTGTATTGAAGCCATGTGAGGTGAAGCTTTGATAACTTCTTACTTTTTAAATTACGGTAAATTCTAACCTAATATTCAAACACTTTTGTATTCCACATGAAAAATGCTAAATTATACTACAGGCATTTAGAAAGTGTTGGCTGAAGGGGTTGAATTCCTTAAGAATTTCTTTTACAGTTTAAACCATAAATGCTTTTCTCAGTTTAATATTTGTATTATAAGCCTACCAAAGTAAACCCTTTGGAATTGTCTCTCTTTTTCTTCTTACTGTAAGTCATTTACAAACTGATTTAGTTTTCTTAGATGACCTAATCTGTCTCTTGAGAAATAAATAAAATACTCTGTGTTTCTAGAGGCTATACTACCTGAAATCGGGTTTTCTAGATCAGAAGCAAGTTATGTTGAAGTTTACTTTGTCACAAGTTTGGATAATAAAAATCTAAGTATTAAAGTTTGAAGATTGAAATTTTCTACTGGGACCCTTGAAACTTGGAAGAAATTCAACCAGAATATCTACATTACAGTATAATCTTGTGTGGTAGGAAGATGGACTCTCGTTGACTAAGAATTCTTGTTACCTTATACATTTGGGATTTCCCCCCATAAGCAAAGTTTTTAATTTTCCATGTATTTTGACGTGTGTAAACATTAATTGTAATGTAAACTATTATACAACTGTCTTTGTGACTTTATAGGCAGGCAGATTTTGCTATTACTATTGCATACAAATGATGACAATTCATTTATGATCACACAAATAGCATTAGTGACATTTAATGATTGAAGGTTAAAGCATTCATCATGGATGTTAATTTTGAAAATGTAAACTATATAGTATTTCCAGGCATCTGAGAAACTATCTACTAAACAATCTAAGATCCCCACAGAGCTGTCTGGAATTATTAAATTGTTGAAAATGTTATCTTATATATCATAGAGCCATTTTCTCAAAGTAGAAGGGGAAAGGGAAAAATTAATTATACGATTACTAGGCTTTTCTAATGAAACAGAAAGCCAAGAAAAGTATCCCTCTATATTTTTAGAAAGGCACTGATGAAGTCTTTGTAGACATGCCCAAAGTTTAAGAGAATTTCTTCAACTATCTAAACTCTCTAGAGATTTTTGTTCTCCCTGTTCACAACCAGTTGTATAACAGAAATACTCAATACTGTTTTCCTCCCAGTGTATGAGTAAAGAATCATTGATCATGTGACTTGTTATATATTCTATTAAACACTAAAGAATAAAACATTCACTCCTTTAATTATTTCTCTTGGCTCCTGGGTATGGATTGGCT